TGTGATTTGGGAAACAGTAGCACTGGTGCATGTGTCACATGATACTGGGAGACTTTGGACTTGCAAGGAAAAGCAAACAGAATATTCAATGCATTTCTTATGCTTATGCCCTATATTTATAATCCTAGAAAGTAGTACTGGCATGTCTGCTGACCCAGAAGGAAGGGCTTTTTTTTTTTTTTTTTTTGCATGACAGTCCATAAAAAACCCAGAGAGAGGAAAAAAAGGATGGAGAACAACGAAACTGACAGTGATGCTTTGGTAATTTGGGCTGAGGGGGTTAGCTTCACAGGTAAGGGTGGCACTGGTTGAGAAACCATTTTGTGACACACTGTTTCAATATTTATGAGACTATTACACATGTGGATACTAAAGAAGATGGGAAATTCTACAAAGAACAAGAGGATAGAAAAAAAATAGCCCTTGTAACACAGGAAACATCAATGTCTTACCACAAAGGCATAGGACTGCATTAAAACAACAAAAAAGTGCAGACACACAGCAGAACACAATATGAATGAGAAAATTGGACACTTACTTCACTGAGGAAGGCTGTAGCACTTACTTGATTAATTTCATTAGTTAGCTGAGACAGGATTGTCACTCCTATGATGCAGTGTTCTACGCTATCCTGATGAAAAAGATGGGATAGGGAGAGAGAAAAAAAAAAAAAGAGCAGTGTCACACTGTTCTTACCAACTTTCACTGCAATTACATGCAAGTGCCAACATACTGAAGATCAGATCTGCCTGGCTGGAGACGCCATGTCCCTGGTTAACAGCAATATTATAATGCAACAGGATAAGCTGAAAAAACATTTAAAGGAACTGTTTGTGGTATTTACTATTTGACGGCTGCTGAGAAGTTTGGCAAAACTTAAACTATTTAAGGAGTAATCAAACAAGATACACCTGCTTTTATTTAAACAGATTACAGACATGTTTTTATGGCATCTTTGATACATGTTTATAGTTCGTCCTCTAAAGATTTGCACACGTCTAATTTAATGCAGTTATTAGTTCCACTGCAATTGCTGCTTAAGTTAAGTGCATGAACCACGACTGTTGTAGGCTGAAGACCTTAGCGATCATAAAAAAATACCAGCCAACAGCCCTGTTAATAGAATTTTCAATAACAGAATTGGAATAACGAAATCCACACAGCTCCAACAATGGGGGGTAGGGGGATGGGACAGGATGACCAGTGGTGGGTCAAAGCAGCTTGTCCTTAAGGCCCATACAGTCTTTAGCTTTGGCTTCACTACTGACAGCCAACAAGCATCCAGTTGTGGGGATGGTCTAGATACAGACACCTGCTTACCAGGAATAGGATTTGACTTACTAACAAGTTTACAAGCAACTCAAGTCCAGGAGAGATGCACTGCAGTGGAAAGCAGCGAGTGTCATTCATGTGATCCCTCGGTTTAACACAAGGTCCCAATATCTTTCATTTTTCAACACTTGGCAGGGACCACTTAAATCTGGGGATTGCAGAGAGGCGTTACATAACGAAACCCTCAAGAGCTGCACTGCAGTCGAACACCGAGAGCATAATGAGCACCCGGCATTTCAGTAAGAGACAATTCCTTCCTCAAATGACATACTATCTAATACGAGACAACTGTCAGGACAGGTGATGATAACCTGTAGGAGGAGTAGTAGGAATAGCTGCTGGAATGGAAACAAACAATTAAATAGAGTAGCTAACAGACTAGCCCACTAGGGCAACTCATGTAATGCATGGACAATAGCATCCCACAGACAAGAAAAGGAAGCTTATGATCAAAGGGGAAAAAAAGAAAAGAAGAAAATGCTCCTGACCTGTAAAAACCTTGTGACATCTGTGATCACATTTCTGAAGACATACTCATCCTTCTGACAGTCGAACCAGCCCAACTTTGTGATCCTGGCGTATAACTGAATTAGTGCTTGTGTTACAAAAGTTGCCAACTTTGGCCGGGTGGCAAGGTAGTTCAGCACATAGTTCCCTGAAAGACAAAACAGTGGGTGCTGAAAATCTAGGTTTCCTCCCCATAACACATTTTTTTTTGTATATGAGGAGACTAATTTAGCCCTAAGCATGGCAAGAAAAGCTGAATAGTTTAGGGGCCATTCCTTACAACAGACCACTTAATGCAAGGTGATTTCTCAACCTCTAGGCAGACGAAACAGAGGACTGAGTTAAATGCCATTCAAAGGTGAGGAGATGGCCTTCCCTTCAGGAAATGCTGCAAATTATATTTCAGAGCCCCATAGAGCACTAACAGCTCTTTGCATTATATAAATTATCTTTTCCTTTCTCCCAAAGGAAACATAACCTCTCAGAGACTCTGTCCCCCCCTTCACATGGTTGGAAGACTCAACATGGCAATCCATAGCGTTATCATGGTTTGATTTCAGCCTTGCACTGTTAGAATCATATATTTTCAAATTCGTTTCCATGTTTCTCCAGTCTTGGAGATGGGCCAAAGTAAGAACCCTGCCTGAGTTTCAATACAACAGCACACCTATAAAACCAAATCAGTCTGTTTCTTTCATACAGACAGGAACTAGACAGGAAAAATGATCCCCGTACAAGAGCACTGGCAAAAAACAGACCCTGGCCAATACCTTTCTACTGTTACTACCTAGAAGACAACAAACAAGAAAACGCCCCAGAGTAGAGGAAGAAACAAAGGAAAAAAACTACAAGTCACGCTTCTCTATGATTGGACTCATTAAATCCTTCTCTCGCAATCAAGAGACAGACAGGGAAGAGAAAAAAGAGAGACAGATAACCCATTTCAGACAGAATCAAGACACTGAAGACCACATATTTGTGGTAACTAGATTCAGATACCTCCAAGTACCTGACATTCAAACCCAGTAATCTATGGTTTAGAATGGGTGGGGGCCAACCTTTTTGGCAGATCTCACTAATTAGCCCTGTACCTTCCTTCAGTGCTGTTCTGATAACACGTAAGTAAGAACTTGAAGTGCCAAACTGACTCAGCCCAATGGTCCATCAAGCCCAGCATTCTGTCTCTGACAGTGGGAAAAGTGGATGCTAAAGCGGAGAAGCATTAAACCAGATCTCTAGAGTGATCAATCCCCTATTTAATATCCTCTTTGGCAGCCACCATTATTGTTTTAGAGATACCAGAGGAAATACCTCTAACCATTTTGTTCGAAAGTCCTTAATAGCTCTATCATCCATGAATTTATCCAGTCTCTTTTTGAATCCGGTTATACAATCTGCCTCCGCCACCTCCTGTGGCAATGAATTCCCCAAGTTAACTATGCATTGCATAAAATAGTGCTTTCTCCCGTTACCTCTGAATTTCAGCGGGTGTCCCCAGTTCCACTGTTCTGAGACGTGGTGAACAAGTTCCCTGTTCACTTGGTCCACACTTCATGATTTTCTAGACCCCTTTCATTTCCCACCTCAGTCCTCTCTTTTCCAAACTGAAGAGTCCTAGCCTTTTGAGTCTCTTCTGGTATGGCAACTTCTCCAGACCCCTGATCATTTTGGTAGCCCTCCTCTGTACCTCTTCTAATTCCATTACTTCCTTTCTGAGATGGGGAGGCCAGAACGGAACACAATATTCAAGATGTGGGTGCCCCACGGATTTGTATAGTGGCACAATAATGTTCTTTGTTTTGTTTTCAATTCCCTTCTCAATGATAGCCAACACTTTAGTGGCTTTTTTGGTTGCCACTGCACATTGAGCCAATTCATAGATTGTAAGGCCGGAAGGGACCTCAGATCATCATCAGGTCCAGACCCCTGCACCAAGCAGGAAAGATAACCGGGGGGGCTCACATTTTAGCAAACCTAGCTACAATGACTCCAATGTCTCTTTCCTGAGTCATAACAGTCAGTTCAGATCCTCTTCCCTTTCCCAGTCAGCTGCTCTACTTACTGCCTTAGCTGCCACTCTTCTGCTTGTCCCTTCCTTGATCTGCTGCCTGCCACACAGACTGCTTTTGCCACTTGTAGTATGTGTGCTGCAGATTGGCCACCCCAGCTTAAAATATCATGTACAGAAGCAAAAATCATCCCCTTTCATCATGTGTCTTACGTTATTGGATCATTCGCATAGTTTACTGACTCATGGAAAGTCTTCCAGTCACCATTAAGTAGTAAATTAGTCATTTATCACAGTATACCATCTATGTACCAGAGCACTAATTTGACCGTGGAAAAGGACTTCTACTCACGAATGTCTATTCGCTGTTCCAATGGCAAAGGGTTGTTTGTGCGTGACACAAGTTTTGTAAGGCATGTAGCTGCCAATAACTGGGAGTAGGAGGACTGCAAAAAAAAAAAAAAAAAACAGCACAGAAAGAGCTAACCAAGTAGCTGCCCCCATCACAGTAATATGGGTTTGCCTTCCCTGGTGAGCCTTCAATAAGTATGGAATTCGATTAGGAATGAAGCCATGGTGTAACTATTGACTTCAGTAGAGTTTTAGTGAGATGACTCTGACCCACTGAGGTTATGTATGCTTTCAGTACAGAAACTTTACATCACTATGGGCACGTCTACATGAGATGCTAAC